ATTTGCAAAATAAAATTTAAACGAAAAATCGACTTGAAGAGACTCCAACTAACACATTCGGATATTTATCCTTTTGAATGTGACACTTGCAAAGCAAAATTTAAACAAAAATGCTATTTGAAAAAACACAAACTAACACATCCGAATATTTATTCTTTTGAATGTGCCACTTGTAAAGCAAAATTTAAACGAAAAAACTTTTTGAAGAAACACCTTAATATGTGTTGTGCATTTGGATGAGAAAAATTTGAAATGCAACATGCAACGCCGAAGGTAATATTTGTGGTAATTTAAAACAACATTCAATCACGAATTTAGCTAAATAGGTTTAAACCAAGAAAAAAATTTCTAGAGGCATATGTTAACACACTTGGATATTTATTCTTTTGAATGTGACACTTGCAAGGCAAAATTGAAACGGAAAAATTAAATGGTGAAAAACAAATTAGCACACATTCGGATATACAGGGTGTATATTTTGAGTGATACCACTGTTGCTATATCCGAAACGGTAAGAGCTACAAGGTCGGTTAAATTAGAAAAACGTTGCTTTTTTTGATGCTCATTCAAGACTTGTTTACAGTGTTGCCAAATTCCTTTTAGTTTATGAAATACAGGGTGATTTCTGAAAAACGAGCAAAACTATTTTATCAATTATTCCGAAAACTAATGATCAATTTAAATTTGAAAGTTTTATAATTTTTTTCGCTCTACAACATCTCCAAATTTTGAATCCGACGTTTTGAGATCCAATTACCATCATCAACTTCATTTTTTTAAACACGGACCTGGATTTTTTATGTCATGGGGAAATAGAGGGCACTTTCTAAAAATAACATATTGAACTTGAATCATTTAAAATAATGTATTTGTATATACGCATGTTACGTTTAAATGAAGGCTATATTTATTTATTTATTCCATTTTTGACTCGTTGGGATTTCGAGTTGAATGACTTTTTGTTTTATTTTTGGCAAATCCCTAATTTAAAAAAAGCGAGGGACCCAATTTAACCACTTGATGGAACTCTAATCAGTTTTTTTTTTGTTGAAATTTTTGTGAATCAATGCCTAATGATGATGATTAATATTAAGTAAACCAATAGATTTATATGAGTAATAAAAATAATTTTACCATAACTCACAATATGTAGTATTAATTTTTATAATGATAATATCCCACCTGCCTATTGTTTTTTAAAAATTTAATAATAAATCTAAAAAACGTATTTCTTTTTTTTTTTAGGTTTATGATAAAAAATGAATATATTATAGAGGATGACTTAAAAATGGAAATAGAAGAATCTGATATTGAACAAATAGACACTAGTAAAGCTATATTCAAAACCAAATCAAATTCAATAATACATTCGGATATTCGTCCTTTCGAATGCGAAACTTGCAAAGCAAAATTTAAACTAAAATACAGTTTAAATAGACATTTATTGACACATTCAAATATCTATCTGTTCGAATGTGCCATTTGCGAAGCAAAATTTAAACGAAAAGATAGAATGAAGGGTCACATAATAACACACTCGGATGAGAAGAATTTTAAATGCAACATATGCGATGCCAAATTTAAATCCAAGGGTAATTTGAAGATACATTTATCCACACATTCAAATATCTATTCGTTTGAATGTAACATTTGCAAATCAAAATTTAAACGAAAATGCGATTTAAATAGACACATATTAATACACTCGGATGAGAAGAATTTTAAATGCAACATATGCGATGCCAAATTTAAATCCAAGAGTAATTTGAAGATACATTTATCCACACATTCAAATATCTATCCGTTTGAATGTGACATTTGCAAATCAAAATTTAAACGAAAATACGATTTAAATAGACACATATTAATACACTCGGATGAGAAGAATTTCCAATGCAACATATGTAACGGCAAATTTAGAACCAATAGTAATTTGAAACAACATTCAATGACGCATTCAGATGAGCATAAATTTGAATGTAATTTTTGCTATGCTAAATTTAACAGCCGTAAAGTTTTAAATATTCATTTAGCATCCCATTTCCAACATGTGAGTTAACGAGGGTTTTAATGTAACTTTTGTAGATACAATATGTATATACGGATATGTCGAAAGAGCAACTTGACCTGAATGGTAATATAATGAGTAAGTGTAAAACACAAAATAAGAAGCCTATTACCACATAAATTCATTATATACTCATATTGGAAGGTTAGATAAAAAGATATTCGAATAAACACAGAATCAGGAATCTCCGGTACATAACAGAGCCTGCGTTTATTTTGTAAAACTGTAGGATTGTTACATTATAAATAGAGGAAGCTTGAAATGTGTCATATTTTCCAGACTTTGGCCCGATGCTAGATAAATAGATAAAGTTATCGATCTATAATCCTATTGGTCGGCTGATAACTAGCCTACCAATGGGATTGGGATTACAGCTTGCGCTTTAATCAGTTCCAGTTCATATGAAACCATGAGAATCAATAATAGAATACTCGAGATATTATCAGAAAGTAAGGGGTTTGTGTACTAAACTAACTTATCTTTTGGAGAATGTACAGGTTTGTTCTTATGAGATTTGGATATTTACTGAGACCCGGCTAAACAATGGTTTTTATGATAATGAACTAAATTCCTTCAATTATAATGTATGTATATCGTTAACTCAGGCATGCTCTGAGTTCTGTATATTACTATGAGTAATAAAAATGAAATTGGAGGATATTGGAGAGTAGGTTTATTATTAGGAAACTGAAATTACATCACAGTCACTAGCTGGATAAGGTTTGTATTTTATATGGTTGCCCTGTTTTTTTTGTTGTTTTTCAATTGCAATAATTTAATATACCTACTTACCCAATCCGTTGCCTAAATAGGCAGGAAACCTCGAAACCATTGCATCCAGCACTGATTAAAGGTGTAATTTATATTGAAACTGTGAACTTATCTTGTCTAATGAAGAAATTTTACGAGTAATAAAAATTATTTTATCATATTCTGTAGTATATTAATTTTTGGAATTTTAATCCCGCAATCCTATAGTAATTTGAAAATTTAACTTATGAATGTAAAAAACGTTTTTTTTTTAGGTTTAAAATTAATAAAATATATCTAGAAGATGGCATTAAAAAAGAAATAGAAGAATCACATACTGAAATAATAAGCACTAAAGAAATGTTCATAAAGGAAGAGGAGTATTCAAGTATCGGGAATTTATCAGGATCAGATGTTATTGGGGAGTTCCAATGTTACGCTTGCACTGCTATATTTGAAACCCAATCAAATTTAAAAAATCATTCATTAACGCATTCGGATGTTTGTCCTTTTGAATGTAACATTTGCAATGCAAAATTTTACAAAAAAAATTATTTGACTACTCACTTATTATCACATTTCGATAAGAAGGATTTTTGTTGCAACACATGCGATGCCAAATTTGAAAACAAGGGAGTTTTAAAGAAACATTTGATGACACATTTGGATATTTATCCGTTTGAATGTGTCACTTGCAAAGCAAAATTTAAACGAAAAGATGGTTTAAATATTCACCTAATGAAACACTCTGATATTTATCCATTCGAGTGTGACACTTGCAAAGCGAAATTCAAACTAAAACAGTATTTGAAGAGGCACCTATTAACACACACGGATGACAAAAATTTTAAATGCAGCGTATGCGATGCCAAATTCAAAACCAAGGGAGATTTGAAGAAACATTTAATGACACATTTGGATGTTTATCCGTTTGAATGTGACATTTGCAAGGCAAAATTTAAACGACAAGATAGGTTGAAGAGTCACATAATAACACATTCGGATGAGAAGAATGTTAAATGCAACTTATGCGATGCCAAATTTAGAACCAAGGAAAATTTAAAGAGACATTCATTGACACATTCAAATATCTATCCATTTGAATGTGACATTTGTGAAGCAAAATTCAAACTAAAACAGAGTTTGAAGAGTCACATATCAACACATTCGGATGAAAAGAATTTTAAATGCAACATATGCAACGCCAAATTTAAAACTAGATGTAATTTAAAACGACATTCAGTGAAGCATTCAGCTAGATAAATGTAAATTGGAATGTGATGATAAATGGTAAATTGATGAACTAAGGGTTTTAATGTTTATTGTAATATTTCATGTTTGTGCCTTCGGCTTGACCCTCCGGACATTACCTGTCGTTTTTTTTGTGCAACATCTCCCTAATTCTTACCTACTCTGTCTGCTAAAGCTCTCTATCATCACATCGTCGTCGCCGCTCGGTTCTCTTTGTTGTTTTCCTTGGAGTGCGTATATCCCTAAAAAATTTTTTGGCTAACGTTGTTGTAGCGTTGTTAACTGTTGAGTGTTAAGTGTTTAAAAATTGATTTGCTTGATGGTAAGTATTTTTTCTGGTAAAGCTCTCATCAATTTTTATTTGCATTTGGTGGAAGTTTTGTTTATACTATTTAGAAGTGAATAACTATTTTGTTCTTAGTAAGAGCTGCGGTTGCCTAAAAGGGTGCTTATCATTTTTTCCGGTGGCTTTATGTTGGTAGCCGGCCATTCAGTCGCTACCAGCGAGACTTGTTAATCTCAGTCGTATCGGCTCATGTGCGCAGCCTCGTCGGTTGAAGAGCCGCAACCGCAGCCTGGTCGGCTCAGGGGCCACAGCCTCCTCGGTGAGGAGCCGCAGCCTCGTCAGCTCAGGAGCCGCGACTTGTCAGCTCAGGAGCCGCAGCCTCGTCGCGTCAATTTGTTAACAATGCCCGTTTTGGTTCCAGATGGCGGAGGCGACTAATACGGTCACATTGGGTAATCGCTACGATGACGAATCAATCGCAGATGGGAAGAGGAACCGGTTCTAAGTAGATTGAAAACCTTGGTGTCAGAAAGTTATCCCGAGGGCTGGCGAGATTGGAAGATTGTCAATTTTTCTTAGTGTGAGCTTTTTGGAGAGGTAGTTGACGCCCAAGTTCTGAATAAAATCAGGTTTGCCCTTCCTACTATGGGTATAGCTAAAGCATTTCATCAAAAGGCCTCAAGTTTGTCAGAAAAGAAGCTCTGGGGCTATAAGGTAACAATGCTGGATTGGGACTTTTGCCGAGCCTTGATACTAAGCCCTTCATATATTGCGAATAGAGTGCATGGCTTAGGAGAGATAGCCGAGTTATTTATCAATGCGGTTTCTGCCCTCAAACACACATTTTTATCAAGAAAGGCAGCTTCGGTGGAACTAAGCTCAGAAGAAGACTCGTACGATGATAAGTGTTCTTCTGTACAGCGGAAGCGGCGTTCCTGTAGTTCTTCCGGTCTCGAATCAGAAAGCAAAAGATCCAGGTTGCAGGCTTTGGAAGATCGTATGGACGCAATGTTCTCTTCTCTTTCGGCAAAGATCGACTCTTCAGCCAATGTAGCATCCCGTAAGGGGACAAAAAGGAACATTTCTGACTCCGATGTTGATTCCGAAAATGGTTTACCTCATGCTAGTGATTCCGAGGATTTAAATTCATGGTCCGAAGTCGATCAATTTCAGTCATTGCCAAAAACTGAGTTCCGAAGGGTGGAACAATATTAAATATAAAGACGTACAAAAAAGGTTGCGAGCTGCCTCTGTTTTTTTGGAATTTGAGAGTGAATGACCAGTTGTCTTTCTTGACCAAAAATTCTTTCTCCAATTCTTCACCAACCAAGTCAGATCTTAATCTTGGCACATTATCGCATGGTCTCTTGAAACAACGTTCTCTTCTGTCAGAAGCAGTTAAGTCCTTGACTTCAAAATATCCGGAAGCGGGACGATATTTAAAGGAGCCTTTTTTTAGCACTTCGTCACCTTTTAAGGTTCTTTCGGATGGACACTTGTGCTCGGCGCTCCGGAGTGTTGAATTTGCGTCGTAAATCTTTCAAACCAAAATCCGATCATCAAGCAGTAAGACTGTATGGTATAGCTCCCTCGGAGTCACATCTTTTCGATGAGAAGGTTAATGACTTTCTCACGCAACAAGGTGGATTTTTTCGTGTCTTCTCGTTTAAGAACAATAGATATAATCAGGAATCTTCAGCTAAGTTTCGAAATCAAAATCAGGCCAGCGCGACATTCAAGGCTCGAACATCATCCTCACGACCCGCTCTCATTAATAATCAACAACGAAAATCAACAGGAGTGGAATGCAAGCATAAAACAGTCGCCGTTAGAAGGCGACATCAGGACGATGGAAATAAAAAAAGAAGAATCTAACTTTCAAGGAGGACAGTTAAAAAAGTTCTTCTTTCGCTGGGAAAAAGAAAATGCCCCATGCCCAATTCTGAAAATTATCAAGGGGTATGGCTTTCAATTTGTCCAGAAGCCTCCGATTATAAGATTCAATCAAAGAATTTTCCAAAAATTTTCTATAAGACCTACCAGCGCAATGTCGATAGAGCTAAGAAAAATTATTCATTTAGGTATTGTAGAAAAATCGGAAGCGACATCAGGATTCCTATCGAAAATTTTTCTTATCCCAAAACAAGACGGGAAGTTTCGTCAGATTTTCAACCTACGCCTTTTCGTCTAGTCAATCAAAGAAAAGTTCCTCTTTTTCTTCAAAGAGGCAATTATATGGCGGAAGTGGATCTCTCTCAAGCCTATTTTCATATTCCCATCAAGCCCTGTCATCGGAGATACCTCTGTTTTACTTACAAGAACCGGCTTTATCAGATGACCTGTCTTTCTCTCGGCCTGTCAAGTGTATTTCTAGCATTCTCAAGAATCACAAACTGGATAGCAAATGTTCTAAGGTCAAAGGGCATTCGAGTGCTGGTTTACTTGGACGATTTCCTCTTAGCTCACCAGAACCCAGAAATTCTACAGAAACAGTTGTTTTTCTCGATAAATTTCCTAATATCTCTGGGGTGGGCAATAAATACAAAGAAGTCATCAACTGGCCCGTCAAAATTATTAGAATTTCTAGGAATTCTCTGGAATATAAAGGAAAATGTCTCGATGTTACCGGCCGACAAAAGTCTCAGAGTAAAAAGCCAGTTGTCAAAAATTCAAAAAACAGGAAAATGGTCTTGGAAAGAAGGAACCTCTCTGATAGGGCGGCTGGTATTTGCGTCTTTAGTCATTCCTCTAGGACGTCTTTCCACCAGAAGACTGCAAAGAGCTGCAAGAGCCTTGAACGAAAACACCCCAAAGGCGAAGGATAGAAAATATACATTCTCCAGGCAAGATCTTCATAGGAAACACGACTTGCTCTCTGACAACAGACGCTTCTAATATAGGCTGTGGATTTCAGCTGGACAATTTCAGTCTGTCAGGAAGATGGACCGAGAGGGAAAAACGCTGGCATGTGAACAAAAGAGAACTGTTTACAGTATTGATAGCCTTGAGAAAATGTCAGAAGGTTATAAAAAACAGGTCATTGTTAATTCAATCCGACAATCGGACTGTGGTAGCTTATCTCAGAAATCAGGGGGGAACCAAATCTGTACCTCTTTCGATTCTTGTGACGAAAATTTTTCTCCTATGCAAAGCAAATTCAATTTTTGTAGTGGCTCAATACATTCCAGGTCGTAACAATCTGACGGCAGATTGTCTTTCCAGAGGAACTCCTAATCCAGAATGTCAGAAGTCATCTGATAGATGTGACAACAGGTCAGCCACCGCCCAAGGTGGAGAACTTATATTTGGAGGCTTGAAAAATTCGGGGTGGAATGCGTTGGTGGGAGGTTTGGGAGCCGCAGAGAACCTCACCCTCTTTAAGTCAGCTTGGAGGAATTCAACCTTGAGGACTTACCGCTCGGCATAGCGTCAGTGGTTTAGTTGGTGTAGTTTATCTCATATTGATTCTTCTGACCCTACACCTCAACAAAAAGCCTCTTATTTATGTTATCTATATCGTGTTAAAAATATGATGTTTAGAACTATTTTAGTTCACAAATCTATGGTTATTTTGTTTGCCAAGCCTTCAGTTTCAGAAAGTTTTTTGGGTGGACACCCCCTAATTGGGTCGTTTCCCAAAGCTATTCAGCTAAAATCTTGTTCAAAGAATGTGGGTAAAAGTGAGATATGGGACGTAAATATTCTGGTAGACTGGCTGAAGAAAAATCCCCCTGAAAAATCGAGTTTTTTTCAGGTTTCGAGGCATTTAGCGTTTTTATTCCTTTTATCTTCAGGAAGAAGAATTCATGATCTAACCCTTTTGAGTATTGACAATGAACATTGTATTCACGATTCTATCACTCTGTATCCAAAGTTCGGATATTGCTTTTATTTCTACCAGGGGGGTAGTTAGGATTTCTTCAAGAGCTGTTATAGCGGGTTGGCTGCATTTTTGCACACTTCAAAGAAAACGCGCCGCGAGTGTTGGAGCGACTCGGGGAGTACAGTCACATGGAGCGTGGAGCGAGAAGTTCACCAATAACAAATATGTTTTTGTAATTCTTAATATTACTGGTATAAAGATGTTGTTGGAGAAGGCCTCAACACACAGTGCGCGAATTTTCATCGAGGGGCGCAAACTTGTCAATAGACAGGCCGTCTGACTGCGACCACACTCCACGCGCTTGGCTTGCCAGTTCACACTTCACGCGCCAGGCGCGCCGCTCAACACGCCGTGTAATGCCCCCTTCAGATGCGGTTTTGAAACGAGGTTACTGGACAGGTTCTGTTGATTTCTTTAAACATTATTGTAAATTTGTCAATAGGTATTTTAGTTTGTCTCCTAATCTGGATTTAATTAATAATTTTGAGGCTGTTTAAAGAGACATTAATGCCAATTATCTTGAATTATTTCTTTGGTTTTTTCCTGTTAGTTATTATTCTGATCTATAACGTACTTAGGTAGGTTTAAAAATATTGCCTTATTTTATTTGTCAAGCTACGTTGACGTGTTGTTTTCAAATTAATAAATCTGGACTTTCTGACAATAAAATTTTAGTGGTTTTATTTTTTTTAAAAATATATACAGGGTGATTGATGGTCGATGGTAGGTTAGACGTTTATGGAAAACGGAATGTTGGATATTTTTGAAAATTTGCATGCCCAAGTAATTGCTCCTGATCTATCTTTCTAAAATAATTTCAACGATTCGACGTTGCCGCTCATACCAAAAAGTAATATGAACTTTGAAATTTTAAATGAGAGACCCTGTATATTATTGCATTTTTCGCTCCGCTATTACTTTTTGATCATTTTTGTATAATACTGTCCTATACCTATCTCTAGTGATTTTCGACTTATTAATTAAGGTACCTGACCCAAATAAGGCCATGTACCTAATAAGGCCAGTGCCCTTTATTGCTTAATATCGAATCCCATTTTCAAAAATTACAATATTATTAAAAAAGAAATCTATAATGCAAATCAAAAATTATTGCAAGGAATCCTAGCAACTCCTCATATGTCGAAAAATGGCCAACCACATATTTCACATGTCACGTTATAACTTTGAGGCTGGAATCTAATTAGTTTATACGCATATGTATAAATTGAATGGAGCAAATGTAATTTTTACAAGGACATTTATGTATTGAGAAAGCTACAGAGAAAGTACAGAATAATAGCTTTGCTAGATTTCTAGTTACAGACTTTTTTTTATCAATGTAACAAGTTCCTAATAAGGCCATGTGAAAAATGTTCAATTGGCCACACATCACAGTGTTATTACCTGAGTGATGTTTTTTGGAATGCCTGGAGTCTTACCAAGCAAGAGATGCTGCGGTTCATTTGTCCTAGTTGTATGTAGACCTATTTGGATCACCATCCCAGGACTTGGAATTTTTGTTTTTTTAGAAATGCAGCAAACATATAAGTTCTATTTTTGGTACTATTTCTCAAATAATAATATTTTTATAATTAATTGTATTTATTTTAAACATTTTTCACTGTTGGCCTTATTAGGAGCATAGTGATCCAAATAAGGCCAATGGTATGCATCTCTGTTTTACGCAAAAACCAACACTTATATTAAAAATAAATAAATTGGAATTAATATTCAAGTAATAGAAGCAGAACACTTTACATATAAGCTCTTGATTTTTGTTGGGTTTGGTGGATAATGTTAGAAAAAAATATAACTTCTTAACATGGCCTTATTTGGGACAGGTACCTTAATTTCTTTATTTTTTCTTCAAAACATTGCTCTAGTTAAATTTGTATTACTACGTCCCTGAGATTCGTAGAAAGTTTAATTTTTGGAGATAACTTAGGTAGGTCCTACATATTACTTTTGAGCAAGAAAATTTGTTCTACATTATACAGGGTGGGTCAAAATTAGTAATTAAATATTAAGATTTCGGAAATACAGGCAAGTTTCTGTAAGAATTGGATTATTTAAAAATTATGTCTTATTAAATAGCAGTAACAAGTGTGTTAAATGAACTTTTTTCCACGAATGTGACGTGCGACAATCACATGAGTGAAAAAAGGGACTGTACACACTCATTGCATACAACATTTTTTCTATTATCGATAAAATATGTGAGAAAAATAAATTTAGACACATACTTCACGCACTAGTGCGTGAAGTGAAATTTAACGTCTTCGCAATAGTGCATAAAGTGTGGGTGAGGTAATAGGAAAAATACTGTCACAAC